TGTGAGGCATGTGACTGTGTGGTGTGTGATTGCGTGTGCATGTGTGTGGTATGTGGAACTCGAGCATCTGATAGTGTGAGGCATGTGACTGTGTGGTGTGTATGACTGTGTGCATGTATCGTGAGGCATGTGACTGTGGTGTGACTGTGTGTGTGATCGTGTGAGGCATGTGACTGCGTGTGGTGTGTGATTGCATGTGCATGTGTGTGGTATGTGGAACTCGAGCGTGTGATCGTGTGAGGCATGTGACTGTGTGTGGTTGTTATGGTGTGTGTGTGACTGCGAGGGGTGCTGCACGATTGTGTGTCTTCTCTGCCCAGTACAAATGGAAGAAAATCAATACAAAGGAAAGGTGAGGGGCTGGAAACCACGGGGAGGGGCTGGGACTTCTCACTTCAGCTGAAGTGCAGTGAGGTCACAGAATACTTCCAGGAAGCGCTGCCCCAAGCGAGTGCTTCTGTTACAAAAAAGCTCCTTCTGCCCTAGGTCCCGTGTGTGCGGCACTCGGGGAACGTCAGAAGTTCCAGGCACAGCAGCCTGACTTCGAAGGCGAAAGGCCCTCGTGAGGTGGCTGGAACGGGCCGGGCCACACTTCTGTCTCCAACAGCCGTGGTGCCTCCGAGCCCCTGGTTAGGCCAGGCGGGTAGAGGGTGGGCGGCCAGGCGGCTGTCTCCAGGCACCGCAGCGGGCGGCCCACGGAGAGGAGGGCTCAGCCCGTCCATTTCGCGAGGTTGGGTGGCCCCGCTCGCTGGAGCCCACATCAGTATGTTCATGTTTTCCTTGTTTCCAACATCACTGGTTGTGTTACTCACAGGCTATTTCTTTACTCAAAAAAAAAAAAACAAAAACCAAAAACCAACCAACCAAAAAAAAAACAAAGAGAAAAAGAAAATATTTGAAATATTTGATTTAAGAAATATGTTGTCATTCTTTTCTTGATGCCCTGCGAACAGTCTTTAAATCGTCCCATTTTCTCTCCTAACCCTTGGAGACTGTGAATGTGGCCTCCAGTTGGAAACTGAGTCTGGGGATCTGGATGTGAGGTGGTCCTCGGTTTATAGGGGCCCCAAATCCAGCGATGGATGCCCAAGAGCAAGGAGAGGGAGATTCGAGTCAGAGGCAAAGGGGAGGACGGTCAGAGTGCTGCAGCAACAGCCCAGGACACCTGGAGTCCCGGAAGCCGGAGGAGGCGGGACGGGTGCTCCCCGGACCTCGGAGCAGGGACACTGCCCACAGCTTGATGTTGGACTTCTGGTCTCCAGAACGTGAGCCCAACACGAATGTGGAGACTGGCTTCTTGTGGATCAAGTGACCCAACAAAACTGTGACAGGGTGGGAGGGGGACAGTGCAGGGGGA